TGATGATATAAGGCAACTCGGCTCTTATTTAACATAGCCTGTTGCGACCGCACCAGAGGCAGGAAATAGGAAATGTAACAATGCAAAACAACAACTTATTATTTTCTGACATAAATTTGATATATCAATTTGTAACATTAGACACGAAATATCATATTTAATGTGCATGAATATGTTTTGATAGCTGCAATCTTATATATATCCCCATATTTGGGAGTATTTATGTTTATTGTCCTCAAGCTTCGAAAACAACTGACACATTCTCCTGATATGTGCGAAATATTTTCACCCGGTACCTGGTTTTCTTTGGCCGAGGATTCCATGAAGGCAGCGTTCCAGGAGTCGGCTAATGCTTTCCCTTCTTCGCAGCTGATTACTCTGGAACAAAAAGATCAGGGCCACGACATTAGGTACACCTGCCTCCGTCAACCGCGCTGATAGCTTGACCACATACCGCTCCATGTGCAGGTCATTCTTGTTTCCAACAAGCATGATGGGAACTCTGTCAGCGCGGGAGAAGAAAAGTGGCCCGTTTTCATACCATTGTGGAATACGCTCGCTATCAAAACAAGTCGATGCCGCGGTGGTACTCACTGAACTTTCCCCACCATGTCCAGCAGTTTTTCGTGAATCACTTGGACCACTTCAAAGCTGCAAGAAACGTCTGTTTAATCAGTTATGTTGCCGCGTATGTTTTCCACGGCTTGCGGAAGTGAAGCACACCTTTTATTGGACGTGACGGAATAGACCAGGATATAGCCATTTATGTCTATGGAGTACGTCTGAGGGAAGATGGAGTACTCATCCTGTGGAGACAGAAATGGTACGATAAAAATTTACACTTTTCGTCCAACCCCCAATTTTTTATTATTTTGTCCAAATATTAGCATCATGCTAAACTCGTATCTTGATGACTGTGCGATATCGTACCACAAAGGAAAGCGGTACGGGTATCGATTAGCATATGCACGCAAGGAGTAACACAATCTACATGCAGCAAAAGTCTCGTATTTTCCACGCTGTAAGGCGCACCGAAATAGCATGAAATTTTCTCGAAAGCCGACAACGCGCCTTATAATCCGATACGCCTTATATATGGATC